CAAACTTTGTTTTTTAGGATTACGCCATGGAGATCTGATCTTAGCTAGCTAAGTGCTGTCCAACATTTGTTTCTAGTGATTTATGCCAACATGACCTCCCTTCCCAACAAAATGGGCAGATGATATCAGGAACGGTAAGAAGGCCAGGCTACTGTATAGAAACTGCCTGGCGAGGTGGTCAGAATCCACCTGGGTACATTTTGATTACCCATCTGTCCTCAAGAGTCTATGGGAGACTGACTTTTAGGGAGCAAATTTTGGCATTCATAAAAGGGAGGCACTGCATCTGAACTCCAGGGCAAACCTTTCGTGGAAAACAGTGGCTGCAAGTCAAACATAGCATAGATAGGCATTCACTACATTTCTATAGGCTGTTCAGCAAGTGATCCTCACAATCTCAGTCATTATTTCCATTCCAGCTTGTCTCCCCTAAAATCTGGTAAGACACTTGTGTTTCTGCCACACTTTCATGCAGTGAATACAAATCTGTAGACTTTCTTCTTTACTTTCAGGTAGGCTTTTTAAAAAGACCAAATCCCAGAACATTAACAATCTCTTTTACTCACTATCCCAAAGATAACCTTCAAGGAAGTATAAAATCTCTTTTACAATTCCAGTGAGAATCACACCTTTTCACTTCGAAAGGACAAAGACAATTACATTTTGGAAATGGTCTCTGGACACAGATCTCCCTTTATCCTTCACATGCAAAACCAGACTGGACAGATGACACCTCTTGAATTTAAAATTTAAGAATTTAAGATTAAGACAGAAGAGAGAAATTGAAGATATCCAGTATGGTGTCATTTCTGCTCTTCATTCACATCCTTCCCATTTCAAACAATGTAACTAGTCATTTCAATAGGAACTACAACTGCAGCATCCTCACAGTCCCATGCAGGCAAAGAGCTGCAGTCTAGTTTTATGTTTCTTACACCCACGGAGAATTCTGTTTTGTTTTGACCTCTCATTACTCTCCCTCACCCACTTGGCTCCAAACATCAAATTCTGTTTCAGCCATTCAACATCTATTCTGTTGGGCTGCTTTTTTCTCTTACCATTATGCATACATACAGAACAGCTGGAATCAAGAAAAGGCACAATTAATGGTTCTGAAATTTTCCAAAGAAAATATTTTCACTTTTCCCCAATTTGAAATTACTTTTTGGTTTAAAAAAAAAATAAAAAAACTAAAAATGTGCCTCCCATAAAACCTCACACACACCTCAAAACCTAAATGGAACGTTTTAGGTTAAACAAAGCTCAAATTTTTGAGAGAGAAGGTTGGTTTAGGCTTGCTTACTTTTATTTCTGAAATCACATAAAAAGCCCAAACAAAATCCCTGTTGCATCTTGGTGTGAAACCCATTTCTTTTATTATCACATGGGAACCAGAATAGCAGAAGACCTCTAGCCTTCAAACATCTAACAGGTTAACCAGCCCCAGTAAAAGTCTGTATTTGCTGTTTTAGCGTATAGCTGCAGATAAGCAAGAATGAAAGAAGTACCCAGGAAAAGCAGGAGGCTAAAGGGCAATACCTGCCACGTACTCACAAACTAACAACCAGTTTTGGGGCAGATGAAGGTACGTAGGGCAAGGCAAAGAGCAGGGATTTCTAAGTACCAGCCTGAGCAAGTGGAGAACAGTCAGGCACAAGGGAACATAGTAGCAGGACAGAACCTTGTTGGAGGTAGACGGGTCAGGATCTGACCATGGTTTTAAAAGCATTCTGAATTACCTTCAGGCTAACCCTGGAAAAAAACCCTGATTCAAAAATCCAAACCAGTATCTGTTTTGTGGAAAAACAAACAAATACCCATTCAGTGCTCCTTTGAAAAGAACAAGCTATAGTATAAAATAGAGGATATCGTGGTTCAGGGCGCCTGGGTCGTTCAAACATTAATGTGACAGAGGTTACAACCACAGTGCCAGTACCAGTCCTGGATCTGCCAGCAAAGCAAAGGACTAACATATCTGACAGGAAGTTTCAACACTGTCAGTGTAGAAAGCCTTTAGAAAAATCCTACTTTTGTTGAATACTAGGTTTTGCTAGCTAAGCTGCTAATTTAGCACTCTGCCTGTCCAACCGCTCACGTGGATATCGAGCTGCACGGCTTCCTCTCTCGCTGCTCCCCTCTCTTTACAAGAGTATGCAGTGATGCTCAGCAAGCCCAGGACACCTGCCCACAGCACCAGCACTGACACGTTAACAGGACAGTCACGGCCAACTGACCTCCACAGAGCATCTGCAGTGTCCCAGCTGGGCTGAAAAAAAATGGTGCGTCTCTCTAAAGCATGCTCAGTGACTGAAGCAACGAGCACATGTAAAAATTCTGCTCATTAGCAACAGAAATACCTTAGGCCCAAATGGACATAGGTATGTAGTGCACACGTGCCCGCAACTAGCCATACTTGAATTCCAGAGCAGCACACAGAAAAAAAGACCAAGCGGTTTTGTACATGTCTGACATTCCCCGTATCATCTTCTGGTTCTCAAATATGCCCTTGTAATAGCCACCCGACAGAAATACATGGTCAGTGCTAATCATGAGATGTAATAGCTAGAACTTTTTTTTTCCCCTTAAACACCATTTGTTAAATCGCCATGATTAACACACACAATTCTACAATTCTGTATCAAAGACCAAAACTACAATGAAAGTAGAAACTATAAACTGACGGAAAGATAAATTCACTTTACATTCAGAAACATGTTTCAAACTGACGAGTGCAATCTCCTTATTTTCCATATATGATCTGTCAAGTCTGACCATTCACATCGTGCCGTAAGTAGTAGAATCAGATAATCTGCATCAGTCTGGATTTAACTCAACAATATCAACATATCATTCTTACCACCTTTGCAAAACCAATCTGTTTCCACCAAGCACATCTCACAATAATGAGCTTTCCAATTTTCCACAGAAAAATGCTTTTCGGGGAAGCAGGAAGGGAAGGAATGAAGAAATACATTACAACTAGAAATCTATTATTTCAACCGTCTTCACCAAACAAAATCCCTTCAGTGTAGGTAAGCAGGCTTCACAAGTAGTGAAGGGGCCTTTCTACAGCTACACGCAAGCAAGAAGTCCCTCATCCTGACTGGGTCAATAAATGTGAATTCATAGAATCATAGAATGTTTTGGGTTGGAAGGGACCCCTAGAGGTCATCTAGTCCAACCCCCCTGCAGTGAGCACATATTATATAACAAAGTGTGGCTTTACCTTAAGTTTTTTCGTTATAAGATACAGAAATGACTTAATATCTGGGCTTGTTTTTGGAAGAATGTCTAGTTGTATGCAAAAATCTAGTTTTTCCTACATTAAAAAAAGGAACTGAATGAGATTAGATATACAAAGTCTTGGCTTCCTGTTCACACTGGAGAACTACAGTGAAATATTAACATGAATTTCTCAACTTATGAAATGGAGGAGATGCCATTAACTCTTTCATAGATGCAGTTCGTCCTCTCAACTGTTTGATGGGTCTTGGAGTTCAACAGATTTAACAAAACAAAGAAAAGAAACAATAAAGCATTAGACAGCCTGACCAAACATCCTCTGCCTCTTAGTTACAACCTGACAATTTCTGTAGCTCAGATTATATTCTGAGTTTTATATCATTATCTCCACATTTCTCTAGATAAGTCTTCACAAAAAGAACAGGCTTTAGAGCAGCTATTTCTCATGCAATAGGCAAGCACATAGAGATACGAAAACAGAGATACGAACTTTGAGCTGTCACCATACATCCTGAACCAAAACCAAGAGGCAGATGAACATTTCTTTTTGTGTTGCAATTAATTTTAAATAATGTGATGGGCTCTGACCTGGTAAAGCTCCTACTCCTCCTATTGGTAGATCCCCAAATTCCACAGGCTGAAGAAATGACAAATTTTGCTATATTACTACACGCATTACAGTGTGATTCACAGTTAAACCATGCTCAGAAGGAAGTACTCCTCATAGGTGGTGTGGAAGCAGCTAATTTGGTAAAAAGCTGTTACGCTAAATCTATCAACCAACAATTCTATTGTATCAGAATTCCTGACACGTTTTGGTGGTATATAACTTCTGTGAAGGCATCACCTACTTTATGAACTGATTATTAACTTTAATTCTTTTTAAAAACCTTACAACAACATCCAGAAGACTTATTCTCAAGCCTTCCCATAACACCAGTGTGCAGATCTTTACAGGGGCTGCGCAACTAAGAATACCCAACTGACCTAGGAGGTTATTAATTCATTCCAAAGCATTCCCCAGCCTGGCAGCTACCACTCAGAAGTTAGCATGAAATACACGAGACAGTGATGCCAAGTCACTCATGCCAACATGGCTTTAGCCTCTTGCTGAAAGATTCGACGGATTCATAACAATAAAATACTTCAGGTTGCTAAAGACTGCTTGAAAGTCCTGGAACAAACCATCTCATTTCATGCATGGTTTAAGCACCACTAAAAGCATTCAGCTGTGCTTACTTCTTCCAGTAGAAACCAAAGGTACTCAGCAGCCAAAATGTCCTTCCTTTGTTCCCTGAGCCAAAATGCCAAATACACTGTTTAAAGCTGGCTGAATCTCTGCCCCAGGAAGAAGGGGCCAACCACTCCATCTTCTTGGTACAATGCTAACTACACCGTGGAAACGAAGCCATGCAGTGGTTTGGGATCCAAAAGCATCACATCTTACGTTATGAAAAAAAGGAAACAAACCCTCCAAGGAAGAGTGACTTCTGACCCAAAACTTCCCAGAGCGGCCCTAAGCATTCATCAGTAGAAGCACAGGGAAAGTGCGCTAGTTCAGAAAAACAGCCATTTAACAAAATTTCTAAAGCATAATGCAACATCATTTCAGTCATTTCTTAAAACAATCAAGCTCCAATACCACATGAAAAATCCAAGAAGCATTTACAATGATGTTCCATACTTTCCAGGAGAAAGAGGAGCAGCGAGGAGGAGACCGTACAAAGTGTTGTTAAGCCTTTGTATCAGTATCTTACCTGACCAAGGGAAGGAAGCGTTGCATAAGCCATGGGCTGATTCATCATTCCTTTCTGCTTCATGATGAGCATGCGTTTCTGCTCCTCGCTCAGGTGCGCCATCTGAGCTTGCATCTGCGGCTGCTGGGACTGCTGCTGCTGGATGTACGGCATCATGGGGTTCTTGCCGGGAGTTGCCATAGGTGGGGTCATCCTCTGACTCAGCTCAGCATTGAAGTGGGTCAGAGGTTTGGTGTTGCCATAAGAAAGCATATTGGGCTGTTTGCTCAAGGAGTTTGTGCCCAGGTTATTTGGCTGCTGACTGATCATATTCATGTGATTTTGAGGGAGGTAGTTATTAATTGTGGTCTTCTGTGGATTGTTTGCCATAGGAGGCACTATTGGGTTTTGGTTGTTAAAGGCTTGGGGATACATCATTGGACTATTTGGTTTGTCTGCACTGAAGGGTCCTCCGTATGGACTAGATGGAGGGCCCACAGGTGACCAGCTTGAGGGTTGATTTGGATGCTGCTGCTGCTTCTGCTGCATGAGCTTAGCTCTTTGCTGCTGCTGGGCTGCCATTTGCTTGAGCTGTTCAGCTGGAGACAAGTCGGCACTCGGCATATTCACAGGTCCAGGCCCTGATCCTGCCACTGTTGCTGCTGCCGGATTCATCAGGTAGCCATTTCCAGATCGCGTCTGCGTCTGGCCGGGAGTGTGGGCCTGGCTGGGAGTTTGAGGAGACTGAACAACACAGTTTGCTGGTGAGCCAGCAGGGATTGGAGCTGGCGGGGCGCTGGACACAGAAGCTATGCTAGAGGCTGTGGAAACATTTGAAAATGGAGGACCGGAAGAAGAAGGCCTCACCTGGGGAGACCCTAATGGGACATGAGCAAACGGAGAATGAGATGGATCACTTTTCACACTTGCACTCTCTTGAGTCTCTGTGGCAGGCCTGGGAAATTCTGGCTCCTTTTTCTCTTCAAAGTCTTCGTTGAACAAATCTTGTATATCATCTTCTGGAACGGTGTTTGCTAGTTCATCTATTAGCTCCTGCCACTCTTGATCGTTCAGGTTAATGTCAGAGAAGAGCTTGTTCTGATTTGAAAGAGATGTTTCAGAAGTGTCTATGCAGCTGGGGTCATCCAAAGGCTCTTGCTTTAGCTCCTTGTTCTGCAGGACGTTAAAACTATCGTCTAGCTCACTGCAACCATTAACAGGGAGCTTTATCTCAGAAAGCCCACCGTTTTTACCCAAGTCTTCTAGACCACTACCATGAGTTCCACTGTTCTGCAGGGGCAGGGGAGCTTTCATGTCAAGCTGGTGAAGAGGAGAAACAGCGGGCAAAGGCAAATTATTGGGCAAGCTGTTGATTGCCTCAATGCCTGGTACATCCTTCCGTATCCGCTTGCTGGTTGGAGAAAAGCTGCCATCACAAACTCCATTCTGCTGTTCTCCATTGAGAGGTGAACGTGCGCCTTCCAACTTCCTTTTGACCGTCTCTTGAAGCTTAAAGAAAAACACACACAAAAAAATTAACCAGTTGCAGAGACAAAAAAAGTACTGATGAGCCTTGTGATAGATACTCCTCATCAAGCCTACTAGTGACATTAAGTTTTAGAACTCTGATTAGGAAGTTTCTTTGATTTCATTCTTATGCCTTGATCAATTTGAGAAGATGGTCTAAAACAAGCAAACAAAAAAACCAAACCAAAAATAAGAACCCCAAAGCAAACCTGCACCTGAATAGGAAAGTAGAACTGTGGAATACATCTGTGCTCTCTAAACTACCAGAATTTTATGGAGCAAGTTGACTAATTCAACTTTTTGGTGCCTAACAGAGGAATGAGATTTAAACAGCGCCTAACACAGTGAGAAGTCTTAAACCGGACAAAAAAAAAATTGAATCACTAAAACTTACTATTTACTCTGAAAAACTTTCTGTTGTGAGTTTCCAGAAGCTTCTTGAAAAATACCTCCAATACAACTGATTGACTGCTTGGTATTGAAACATGTGTTGTTGACACTGAAATTTTTGCGAAAATTCATTAACTTAGTTTCATTTGATTAGCCCTCTGTTCTTGGCTACAAAACATATTGAGAATCAGCTTTAAGCTAGGAAAAAAATATATTCACCCTAAAAAATAGAAGGCACTTTGCATGATGATAACTCAATCAAATAATGAAAAAAAGGAAATAACCTGTGTGCTAGGAGCTAATGTAAAAGATAAACAACTAACAGAAATGATAGCAAGACAAGTGTCCAGGAAGGCAATTATATGAGAATATAAGAATGTTATTTAAAAAAGTGTGTAAGTTTAATTCAGGTTAAAAGAAGCATAGCAAAGCACTGTAACAACCTCCTCTCCTAGTCGCCCCAAACGTTAAGTCCTCCGCTTATGTACCAGGCTAAAAAAAGCATCCCTCTTCAGCTAAGACAAAAAACAATAGTGGGGAGGGGAGGAAGCAAAGAGGTCACAGCTCTAGCGAACGCCTTCAGGACACACTTGCATCCTTGATACTAGAACAATAGAAGACAAAATACTGAAAGATTTTATCAATTTTTAAAGTATTTTTACTGGTATGAAAAACCCAGACATGCAGCTCCCACCCCTTCCCTAACCTAGAGGTCCTCAACCTTCTTTCTTCGTACAATCCCAGATCCCATTTATTTCTCCCATCCCAGAGTGCTAGTGCCCCTTTCATCCTGTATGTAAGACAGGCAAGCAAATCCATATCTCATCCCTGGTTTAGAGGGAGTGGTTCTGAGAAGGCTGCGCCCTTCCCTCGCCCTTTGGGCCTGCGCGGGCTCTTCAGCATGCAACGCAGAGAGACCTGGCCCAATGCACTTGTTGCTGCAGTCCCAGCTGGACATGTGCAGGACACTAAGCTATGCACTGGTCCTCTGCAGAGATGTGACCTTTATAACAAAGCAGAAAGGCAAGTTTATGAGTCCTTAAGCAGACCATCAACTCCCTGATTTGTACTGGAACAGAAGAGCTTTTTTATGTGGGAGAATGATTAACACGTGGCTGAGAGTCACCAGTGGGTCCCTGTTGGCATACGTGCCAGAGACTTTGCTGCTTGTTCCCCCTGCACAAAGCCAGTGGGTGCCAAGCCTCCCACAGGCTGAAATTCCTTCTTCTCTTGGCTTTTGTGGTGCCACACAGAGACCAGCTGCTCTGTGACTGCAGCCTCTGCCATGCGGACTGCTGCTGGGCCAGGCTCCTCCTCTGCTGCAAGATGCCTGCACAGCTCCACGGGAGCCACCCTTACCCTGAATCTTTGCCCACCCCTGGTTTCTGGGGCTCAGGGAACAGAAAGGCAAGAGGTTTGCACTGAGAAGTTTCTCTCCCTGTGCCGCAGGCTGTGATAGGGAACCCACCTGTGGCAAGGCGGGGGTCAGGAAGGCTGTGAGCATGTTTTGGGCATCCCCACTGCACGTGTGAAGTCCCCAACACTGGGCTCCCACTCTCTCCTCGCCCAGCTGCAGCAGCTCTTGCCCCCATGAGCTCTGCAGATGCCTGGGGATGGGGTCGTACACATGGCAGCAGATGCCAGTGAGAGCGCACTCCACACTGGTGCTGTCTTAATTAAAGCCCTGCAGAGTCATGTTAATCACCTATGGTCTGCAAAAGCACACTGAGCTGCAGAGCACAGAGTCCCGTGGTGGAGGCATCGCCTTTTCATGTCCCCGTGCCATGGCAGCAGCAAGCTCTATCAAGAGGCGCTTGCTCAGGGGTGGTAATTGCCTCATCTGTGCCAGTTAACAGCGATGTGGAAGGTAAGTCAACACCCAGGACTAGTGTGAAGGAGGAAAATCAAATCCCACAAGGAGGCTTATGATACGGCTCTCACCTCCGCCGCTTGCCTCCCCTAAAAGCCTATGTTAAGCTGAACACCACTGTATGGCATTACAGCTCCCTGCTGCTTTTTGACTAGTGTAACTGGCGCGTGGCAGAAGACTGCAGCTGAGCCACTGGGTTTGTTTCACTGATCTTTATATAACCCTTGTTCAGACCCCGGAGACAAGGAAAGGACAAATACAGATGTGGTAACGGCACCGCTTCACAAGTACAGGAGCAGCCTCTCCCAGGTTTCCTTTCTTCAAAGCAAGAAAAGAAAGAGCACAATCTGGCCTCTAGTGCAGGTGGTCTGTTACACAGTTGATATAATGACTTAAAATAGTATATTTACATGTTGTCCTTAATGGGCCACTCGCACTATTTACAGCTGAAATCACCCATTTCAGCTCCTAAGCTGTCTCACTACAAAGTCACCATCCCTCTTTGCTTTCCACGTCAGAAAAAGTCACCGAATGGCAAGTGACTTGAGACCAAGTCCAATGGGCATGCACACACAGAAACAGGGTTCAAAGAAATGTCCAAAACTCGTAAAGGTCCTTTGTCCCAAGTTCATTTTGGACAAATGTTGGGCTAAAGTAAGAACAGTCATACCAAAGGACCTGGTGACAGGCTTCTAGTTGTGGAGAAAAGTTCATGTAAGGAAGAGATGGGAAAAAACTTAATTTGTCTCAATGACAAGTCAGGGATTGGTGAGAGTGATTATTTCCTGAGAAATACAAGAGAACTGACTGCATGCATTTCACAACAGTTTGAAGGCATCCCTTACAGAATATCAGTAAGTGATACACTTTCACATCATTCCATGCTTTCAGGTTTCACATAGTTTACTAATTTATCCCAAATCCATCACCTTATTTGTACATCAATGTTTACCAAAAGAATCAAAACTATCTAGCGGCAAATAACCAGCCCTAAAAATATCAGCTCCTAAAGATTTCATCATATGCTGAAACTTGGATGTCCCCCTGTACAAATATACAGTGATTTTAGTGAAAGTAAAAGCAGACCCATTATATAAATATTAATAATCATGCTTATCATGCATTACAACAAAAAGTAGCTTTAACACGGAAGTTATTTTCCATCAAATATCAAATGTACAGAAATCATGCCTTGTTGCAAATGAAAACAAAATGAAGCCTATTCTAAGTTTGTAGCTCCACATGATTCTCCTTCAGAGGTTTTAGGATCTGGAGGGGCTAACAGGCACTAAAAAAAACCCAAAACTTTTTCTTTTCTTTGCTCATTAAACAACTGTAGGTAGACAGAAACATAACATGAATGGTTTATTTGAAGGCAACATGCTGGATACAACCTTTGTAGGTGGGGAAGCACCTAGGTCCGGGCATTTTGGAGGGGTTGGGAGCCACAACAATAGATGCATCTCTTCTTTTTGGGGCACAACACAGAAATGTTCTTACCAAACGATTTCAATGCAAATGTTCATTTCCATTACTTGATTTCACTCCCAATCACCATGTCAACTATTGGATGGCTTGAATGTCATACACTGACCACGTACTGGCAAACAGTTTATCACCACCAGGACTCCACAGTGTCTTAAACTAAAATCCCAACACTTCCCCTTACCTATGTAAAAACAACATCTGAAGTAAAATATGCTCCTGTAAAGTGTCTTCCCTTGCCTTCTAAGAAGTAGTATATAGCTTGTGCATGCCATTTAAAGTATGCATCATGAAGATACTAGCAGCAGCTTAGAGATTTATGTCTAGGACCAGAAGACTCTTGATGCATAAAGTAAAAAGAAAATATTAAAATAAAAGAAAAATATTAAAATAAAATAAAACCCTTGCCAGTTTCAGAGGCCTTCAGCTTTATTAATACAAAATATTTTGCCAGTGGACCTGCATTTCACAGCAGGTTTCTACCCCTAAGCAGAAGAGAGTGAAGCAGGGCTTGCTGTTCTTTATATGCCTTTGGAGAAACTCTAGTTGCAGCACAAGAAAAGGTCAAACTTTGGCGGGTTGACTTTTTAAATGACTCTTGATTGGGGGAGAGGCGGGGGGGGACAGAGGCTGTGCACACAAGCGCATGCGGACCGGAATGGTCTAATCCAACCTGTCCTGAAATTTTCAGCAGAGCTGCTCGGACATGCCACAACAGACCCAATACATAAACAAGAGAGCGTTGAGGCTGTCAGCAGTGCTTTCATCTGCGGGGAGAAGCTGCTCTGCTTCATCCCACCAGCAGCAAGTCATTTTTCAAAAGAAATGAGACCGAGGTGCTGTTGTTATAGCAACAGCCGAGCCACTCACTGGCCCATCCTCCACCGTCGCGCTGCCTTCGGTGGGCGGCTGTTCCAGTCACCCACCAGGAGCGACCAGGGCTGTGGCAGAGGCCCAGTCCTTTCACTGCTCTCTAAAAAAAAGAAAAACAAATGGGGGGGGGGGCAGGGGAAGCAGAGAAGCTGAATTCTCTTCCTGCCTATAAAGGCTGAGCATGATTCGCGGCATCTAACACAGGTCCGCTTCCACTCGGTGGCCAGATGGTCTGCGAGGCCACAGACAAGGAGGCTGGGGTCGCTTTCACAGATGCTTTCATGCAGCAGCTACACAGAGCAGACACGTTGCCACTGACTTTTCTCTTGTTAAGGCAGCTCCAGCCACTTCAGTACGTGGCAAG